GCCCCTCTGGAAGAGCCCGGCAAGCTACCGAGAGTATCTCGCCTGCACGGCAGAGCCTGGCAAGCTCCCTGAGATGTATTCGATATGCCAGACACAGTAACAACAAGTCTCCAGTGGAGACGTTACTGGGCCCGCTCGAGCAAATCGACGAGCTTTTTGGGTCACACCCAGCGATACACAGGGGTTACTCCTGGCTCTGACACAGGAGTTACTCTTGGCCGTGCTCAGGGGACCCTATGCGATGCTGGGAATCGAACCAGGGTCGGCCGCGTGCAAGGCAAATGCCCTACCCGCTGTGCTATCGCTCCAGCCCCATCAGCACTGATTTTTTTTAAATTAATTTATTTATTGAATCATTGTGGGAAAAGTTACAAAGCTTTCAGGTTTAAGTCTCGGTCATGCAATCATCAAACACATTTCCCTTCACCAGTACTTATTTTTCACCACCAAGAACCCCAATAACCCCCCCTCCCAACCCTCCCAATGCCTGTGAGGCAGTCAGCACTGATTTTTTAAAAAATTTATTTTGTTGAATCAATGTGTGATATAGATACAAGCTTTCATGTTTGAGTTTCAGTCATACAATGATCACACACCCATCCCTCCACCAGGGCACATTCCCCACCACCAGTGTCCCCAGCATCTCCCCAATCCCAGCCCTCCCCCTGCCTCCATGGCAGAGAATCTCCCCTAGACTCTCTCTCTACTTTGGGGCATCATGGTTTGCAATGCAGAGACCGAGAGGCCGTCACGTTGGGTCCTTTGTCTACTCTCAGCACACGTCTCCCATCCCGAGCGACCCCTCCAACCCTCACTGACTCAGTGATCCCTTCTCCATCCCAGCTGTTTTCTCCCCCAGCTCTTGAGACAGGCTTCCAACTATGGAGCAATCTTCCTGGCCCTTGTGTCTACTGTCCTTGGGTTATTTTATATTCCACCAATGGGTGCAGTCCTTCTATGTCTGTCCCTTTCTTTCTGACTCGTTTCACTCAGCATGATACTCTCCATGACCATAAACTTTTTTAGAAGCAAATTTCATGACTTCCTTCTAACAGCTGCATAGTATTCCATTGTATAGATGGACCATTTCATTTTTTTTCATTTCATCATCCTGTTAATCGTCGATTGCCTCGAGCAGGCCCCAGTAACGTCTCTTTCATCCTAGCCCTGAGATTATATTCACGGCTCTTTAGGAGAATGAGACCCATCATTGTTACTGGTATTTGGCATATTTGGTAGGCCACGGGGAGTTTGCCAGACTCTGCCCTGTGGGCAGGCTACATTCGATAGCCTGCAAGTTTGTCCAAAGTAGGAATGAGATAATAAGATGTCGCGCGGCCGCGAATGCGGCCGCGCGGTTCCGGGATCTGGATTTTATAGTCTCTGAGTCTTGGCCGCTGATGGGATTACACGGCGCCAGGGGGCCAGGTGGTGGGTGTGACCCCCGCCTACTGGAATTTGGAGGATCTGGGTGGAAGATGCTCGACTCCAATTCGAGTAGGCGTGGAGGTCTCGGCCCCGGAACCCGCGTGGCTGTGTCCCTCTGCCAGTACCTTCATGGGTGCGGAGAGTGGTCTCAGCATGGTGGTGGCTGGTCCTGGAGGTCTTCGGCTGCCGTAGCCCTGGTCGGGGTGGGGAGGAAAGCTCAACCCGCTCCCCTCCAAGGGACTCCGGGAAGGAACACCCAGGCGCGGGGGCAGAGACTGCACTGCTCTCTCTCGTCCGGGATCTGGATTTTATAGTCTCTGATTTTATAGATGGACCAAAGTCTCTTTATTATTTTTTAATTAATTTATTTATTTTGAATACCCATCCCTCCACTAGTAACCATTTCCCACCACCACGGGTCCCAGTATCCCTCCCATCCCCCATCCCCTCCAGCCCACCCTGCCTCTGTGGCAGGGCATTCCCTTTTGTTCTTTATTTCCTATTGTGTGTTGTGGTTTGTAAAAGAGTTAAGCCTGATTTTCAGGGAGAAACGTTCGATAATTTACTTTCCATTGATCACTTTATATATAAGGAGATGTCGCGCAGCTGTGTAAGTGGCCGCACAGTTTGGGGTAAAAGTCCTGGTTCCTGCATAACCGAGCTATGCTTGTAGAGGCTCATGGTCACTGGGGTTCCATCTGGAGGAGGCGGGATGTGGCACCTACCCCATCTGGGACTTCCTGGTGGTCTCGGCTCTCTTTGGGACCTGGAGCATTCTCTGGGAGCTGTGGAGCCCCTCCCCCCCGCCCCCCCACGCGGCCTTTCTTCTCTGTAGCTGTGTCGACCAAAGTCTCTTTAACCAGTCATATGTTTTGGGGGCACTTGGGCTGTTTCCAGATTCTGACTATTGTGAACAGTGCTGCAATGAACATACAGGTGCAGATGTCATGTCTACTGTGCTTTTTTGCACCCTCAGGATATATTCCCAGAAGAGGTATTGCGGGGTCGTGTGGAAGCTCAATTTCTAGTTTTTGAAGAAATTGTTTTCCAGAAAGGCTGGACCATTCAGTATTCCCACCAGTAGCAGCACTGTTTTTTTTGCTCCATGCTGTTCCCACTGGTGTGAGGTGCTACTTCACGGTTTTGGTGGGCGTTTCCCTGATAATAAACGATGATGGACACTTTTTCAAATGTCTCCTGGCTATCCACATGTCCTCTTTGGGGAGGCGTGAGTTCATCTTCCCTTTGATTTTCTTGATGAGGTTGTTTTTCTTTTTTTTTTTTAATTAAAAAAATTTTTAATAGCGAGTCATCATGAGGTACAGTTGCAGACTTACACATTTTTGTGCTTGGGTTTCAATTATACAATGATCAAATACCATCCCTCCACCAGTGCCCATTTCCCACCACCACGGGTCCCAGTAGCCCTCCCACCCCCCACATCCCTCCTAACCCACCCTGCCTCTGTGGCAGGGTGATGAGGTTATTTTTCTATGTACCTGGTTGAGCTTCATGAGTGTTTTGTGTATCTCTGGGATATTAGCCCTTCCTCTGATGAACCGCGTGCAGATACAGGGAAAGAAGGTTTTATGGGGGGGGGGGGCTAGTTATCTCAGGTTGGAAGGAGGAGGATTTGATTTAGCAAATGTCTATTTTTTAAAATTTATTTATTATTATTATTTTTGCCTTTTGGGTCACACCCGGCGATGCTCAGGGGTTCCTTCTGACTCTGCACTCAGGAATCACTCTTGGCGGTGCTTAGGGGATCCTATGGGATGCTTGGAATCGAACCCGGGTCTGCTCGTGCAAATGCCCTCCCTGCTGTGCTCTCTCTCCAGTCCCCTGATTTAACAAATGTTTGCCTAGCAATGACTGAAGTTGGCAAGGACAAGGATGCGAGGGCTTAGGAAGTGAGCAAGGCACCGTTTCTGCCCTCAAAGAGGTTCTAGAAAGCGCTCCAGGGCTCTGAGCACCAAAGCTGGAGTCTACGGCCAGCCTGGGGAGGCTTCCACTGGGAGAACCAAAGAACCAGAGTCTCCAGGAATTAAAGATTAAAAACCTCTCCCTGGGGCCAGAGCGATAGCACAGCGGGAAGGCGTTTGCCTGGCACGCGGCCGACCCGGGTTCGATCCCTGGCATCCCCTAGGGTCCCCCGAGCACCGCCAGGAGTGACTCCTGAGTGCAGAGCCGGGAGTCAGCCCTGAGCATTGCCGGGTGGGACCCAAAAAGCAAGAGAAAGAAAGAAAGAAAGAAAGAACAAACGAACGAAAGAAAGGAAGGAAGGAAGGAGTACATTTGAGCAGAAACTTGGGGTACTGACACCCTCAACAGGAGTGGGTGCAGATGGGAGTGATCCCCAGGCGGTGTCAAGGAGCCCCAGAGCCAGGTTCTGGTGGGTTGGGCCCTGGCTGTGCCGTGGGTAGGTGATTGCTGTGTCTGGAAGGTTGGCTGGGCCCGGCTGGGGTTCATGATCTTGCCGCCAGATGAGGGGTGAGTGGGAAAGTCTGAGGAAAGAGGAGACGCGTGGAATCGTCACATCGGAGAACCAGGATGTTCTGGCACCAGCACTGTACCACTGTAGCACTGTCATCCCGTTGTTCATCGATTTGCTCGAGCGGGCCCAGTCACGTCTCCATCGTGAGACTTGTTGTGACTGTGTTTGGCATATTGAATATGTCACAGGGAGCTTGCCAGGCTCTGCCGTGCGGGCGGGATCCTCTCGGGAGCTTGCTGGGCTCTCTGAGAGGGAACCACTTAAGTACATAAACTCCTATTTTCTACTATGTTTTCTGAGATCTAAATACTTATCTAGTATTTCTGAGCAAAATCTAGCATCTGAATCATGTGCAGTGAGTATTAAATGCATGCCAGAGTTCAGACACAGTATGACAAAGGAATGTAAAAGTAGCCCATTAAGTATCCAAGGCTGGAGCGATAGCACAGTGGGTAGGGCGTTTGCCTTGCAAGTGGCCAACACGGCCGACCCGGGTTCAATTCCTCTGCCCCTCTTGGAGAGCCCGGCAAGCTACCGAGAGTATCTCGCCCGCATGGCAGAGCCTGGCAAGCTGCCCGTGACGTATTCGATATGCCAAACACAGTAACGACAAAGTCTCCAATGGAGACGTTACTGGACCCGCTCGAGCAAATCGACGAACAACGGGAGGACAGTGACAGTGACAAGTACCCAGAGTGTTGGACAGGAACATGTGCTTTACATGCAGAAGTTTCCAGGTTAGATCCTTTATTTGATGGTCCCCTGAGCCCCACCAGGGGTGACCTCTCTAAGTAACAAGAAGTAGCAACAGATCGGCTGAAAACACCCCGTTTCCTTTGAGCCGTGTCCTTTGGGCAGATTTAGCGTCCAACTGGGAAAGTGGGGGGTTTCCATTTCTGAGTCTCCATCTCTAGTTCCCGTCTCCCATCAGCCAAAGCGTGAGACCGAGTGGCCCCGGGCCAGGGAAGGGAACTTGCTGGGTTCTGAGGGTCCGTGTGCGCCTGGCCATCAGCCAACCATCCTGTTCTGTCCTGCGGAGGGAGTGACCGCGTTTTCCTCCATCTCTGTTTCCCCGCAGGGAGGTGGCGACTGTCCAGAAATGAGCATCGGGGCCATCAAAATCGCCTTGGAGATTTCCCTCCCCGGGTCGTTCATCTACGTCTTCACCGACGCCCGCTCCAAGGATTACCGGCTCACCCAGGAGGTGCTTCAGCTCATTCAGCAGAAACAGTCCCAGGTAAGCAGGAGCCCGAGGCCTGAAGCTGAATGGGCGCAGCTCTGTTCTGGGGCCCCGGCCTGCCTCGTTGGATATTTCTGTGGCAGAGGAGGACCACGGTTCTAGCACCCAACTGCAAGCTGCTCTCCTGGATTGTATTTATTAATTGACATGCGTGAGAACGCTTGAGCCTTTATCTTTATTAGATTCTTTTTTTTTTTTTTTTTTGCTTTTTGGGTCCTACCTGGCGATGCTCGGGGCCGACTCCTGGCTCTGCACTCGAGAATCAATCCTGGTGGTGCTCGGGGGACCCTATGGGATGCCGGGGGCTGGAGCAATAGCACAGCGGGGAGGGCGTTGGCCTGGCACGCGGCTGACCCGGGTTCGATCCCCGGCATCTCATAGGGTCCCCCGAGCACCGCCAGGAGGGATTCCTGAGTGCAGAGCCGGGAGTCAGCCCTGAGCACCGCCGGGTGGGACCCAAAAAGCAAAAAAATATATAAAACAGCAACAACAAAAACAAACAAAGGTCGCTGCCCACATGCAAGGCAAATGCCCTACCCGCTGGACTATCGCTCCGGCCTGAGTTTCACAATAATTCAACACCCGTCTCTCCACCAGTGTCAGTTTCCCTCGCCAGAGTTAGTTCCCAGTTTCCCTCCACACCCCAAGCCCCGCTCCACCCCTGCCTGTCCACGTCCGGGCACGTGGCAAAACTTGAGTGGCTGCTGCCTAGGCCTCGTGCGTTCCGTGTTGTTGATCTGTGTTGTGGATACATCTCTCTCCCCCCGCCCCCCATATCACTGGTTGGATTCTCTTGCCTTTAATTTAAAACGCTCCAACATGTGGGTGTTATTTGCACACAGCATGAGGCTCATCTCTGTGCTTTCCAAAGCAGAGACGAGATGATTCACCGGGGGTGTTTGTTTCCATCTAAGCCTTAGACGCGAGAAAGCACAAACCGGGGCTGGAGCGATAGCACAGCGGGGAGGGCGTTTGCTTTGCATGCAGCCGACTCGGGTTCGATCCCCAGCATCCAGTAGGGTCCCCCGAGCACCGCCAGGAGTGATTCCTGCGTGCAGAGCCGGGAGTCAGCCCTGAGCACCACCGGGTGGGACCCAAAAAGCAAAATAATAATAATAATAATAATAACATCAGGTCTATCACCCAGTTCCGCACCTTGATCAATATCTGATCCATCCATAGGGGCTGGAGTGATAACACAGCAGGGTAGGGCGTTTGCCTTGCACACGGCTGACCTGGGTTTGATCCTCGGCATCCCCTAGGGTCCCCCGAGCACCCCAGGAGTGATTCCTGAGTGCAGAGCCGGGAGTCAGCCCTGAGCATCGCCAGGTGGGACCCAAAAAGCCAAATAATAATAATAATAATAATAATAATAACAACAACAACAACAACAATAACAACAACAACGTTACTGGGCCCGCTCGAGCAAATCGACGAACAACGGGAGGGCCTTTACCTTTAACAACAACAACAACAACAATAATAATAAGAAAGGGGGCCCAGAGCAATAACACAGTGGGGAGGGCGTTGTCCTGGCATGCGGCCGACCCGGGTTCGATCCCCGGCATCCCGTAGGGTCCCCCGAGCACCGCCAGGAGTGATTCCTGAGTGCAGAGCCAGGAGTCAGCCCTGAGCATTGCCGGGTGTGGCCCCAAAAGCAAAAATAATGATAATAATATTAATAATAATAATGAGTCATGGGACTGGACAGATAGTTCAGCAGAGAGGCCGTTTGCTTGGCACACAGCCGATCTGGGTTCGATCTCCGGCATCCCACAGGGCCCCCCCAAGGACCGCCAGGTGTGATTCCTGAGTGCAGAGCCAGAAGTCAGCCCTGAGCACTACTGGGTGGGGCCCCAAAACAAACAAACTGACCAAAATCCGTGGCAAACACCTAGTTCTCCATATGGAGGGAAAGGCAGAAAAGAAAGGCGGAAAAAAAAAAGACTAGAAATCTCTACTGCGAGTCAGACAAACGTGGGTTAAAATGCAGAGTCAGGGCCGGAGCAATAGCACAGCGGGGAGGGCGTTTGCCTTGCACGCGGCCGACCTGGGTTCGATCCCCAGCATCCCATAGGGTCCCCCGAGCACCGCCAGGAGTGAGTCCTGAGTGCAAAGCCAGGAGTCAGGCCTGAGCATCGCCGGGTGGGACCCAAAAGGAAAAAACAAGCAAGCACACACCTAAGCTGAAAGGTGTCTGTGTTCAACGCCACCCCGTAAGGAGCAGTCCCCGCGGCCTGCCTTGCGTGCAGGCTTCCTGCGCTCCCCTGGACCTGGGGGGCTCGATTGGGTTCAGCTTCTTGAGGCTGATCACTTGGCGCAACTTTGCTACACCTGTTCCCAGCCTTGTTCTAAGACCCACAGATTTCCACACATCCTTGTCTGGCCGGGGGCAGAAACTCTCGAGGTCGAATGGAAATACCCAAGCTGGTTGAGTCCCTGGGAACTTGGGCCTCTGAGTCCTGTCTGGAAGGTTTGCACCCAGAACTCCAGAAGTTTGCGAACTCACAGCTGGCTCTTGGAGAGCTTTGAGGGGAGTTGTAGACCCGTTGCGGCTCTGGGCTGGCTTCACCAGCCGTTGTCGGTGCTGGTGTGTCACTGGTTCTGTCTTTTTTTTTCTTTTTTCTTTTTGGGTCACACCTGGCGATGCTCAGGGGTTCCTCCTGGCTCTGCACTCAGGAATCACTCCTGGCGGGGCTCGGGGGACCCTAAGGGATGCTGGGAATCAAACCCAGGTCGGCCGCTTGCAAGGTCAATGCCCTCCCCACTGTGCTGTTGCTCCAGCCCCTGGTTCTGTCTCTTGAAGCCCGTAGCTGGCCACCTGTGCCGTGGATGCAAGCCGCTGTTTTCCTGCCATCCGGGCATCGGTCCACACAAATCCAAGAGAAGGTTGCTGGGCTCTTTCATAGCGTGATGTTTCCCACCCTAATTAAGCCGTTCCGTGATTAATTTTTGACCCCCTTGGCTAGTGCTATTCCGGAAGACCAAATAAATTCACCACGTGAATTCACAAATAAATCCACCGTTCTGAGAAATCTCCTTGAGACGAGGCTAAGAACTGTGTAGGATGTGGGGCTGGAGCAATAGCACAGCGGGGAGGGCATTTGCCTTGCACGTGGCCGACCCGGGTTCGATCCCTAGCATCCCATATGGTCCCCTGAGCACCGACAGGAGTCATTCCTGAGTGCAGAACCAGGAGTAACCCCTGTGCATCGCCGGGTGGGACCCAAAAAGAAAAAAAAGCATTGGGGATAGGAAGCTTCTCTCTTCTGTCTGGGTCCATACACGCATGACGGCAGCACACATTTCAGGCTTGCCAAACACACGCTTGCTTCTTGAAAGGCTTTTAACTGATCTTTTTGTGTGTGTGTGTGCAACCCCCCCCCCCCCCCCCAGGTGGTCTTCGTGCTCACGGGAGACTGTGATGACAGGAATCACATCGGGTACAAAGTTTATGAAGAAATTGCTTCTACCAGTTCTGGCCAAGTGTTTCATCTGGACAAAAAGCAAGTGAATGAGGTTAGTGGAATGTTGAGTTCTTCTTGGGGCAGATTTGGTTCTAAAAACGGGGCCGGGGTGGCGGTACAATGTGTAAGGGCTCGTCTTGCAAACTCTAGCACGGTCCCCTGAGCCCCGGCACGAGTGATTCCTGAGCGCAGAGCCTGGAGTCAGGCCTGAGCATCGCCGAGTGTGAACCCAAGCAAAACCCAAACAAAAACAATCAAAACCCAAATGTTCTGTTAGTGATCTCTTATAGAAGGAAGGGCTTAATGACCCCCTGGGTGAAATACAACAACCTTCACATTCTCTCCTCTAAGGAAACTTTTTTTTTTTTGGAGCATTTTCAGTGTTTTTTCATAACAAATAAGACAACTTACATTATTTCGGGTTTGCTTTGGGGCAGGGGTTGGGGTTTGGGATGGAAACGTCTGAAATGTGGTGGTGGGAAGGTCATGGAGGTGGGATGGGTGTTCGAATATTAAATGTCATCAAATATTTTGAACTACTTTAAAAAAAACAAATGTTCTTCCCTGAACACCCACCCCCAACACACACACACACACACACACACACACACACACACACACTGCCACTGTAGCTACAAGGCATTAAATCAAGGCATTAAACCGGTAAGAAGACTCTGAGCTAGATCAACTGTATTGTGCTCGGCTGATAAATTATTTCATGTGAATGGATTTAAATTTAAATTTAAATTTGAGGCAAAGTAAATTTTTGTTGTTGGTTAGTAAGGCAAGCTACCGAGCGTATCTCGCCCGCATGGCAGAGCCTGGCAAGCTACCCGTGATGTATTCGATATGCCAAACATAGTAACAACAAGTCTCACGATGGAGACGTTACTGGGCCCGCTCGAGCAAATCGATGAACAACGGGAGGACTGTGACCGTTTAGTAAGGACAGACTGTTTTCTTTTTTTTCTTTTTTGCATTTTGGGTCACACCTGGTGATGCTCAGGGCTGACTCCTGGCTCTGCACTCAGGAATCACTCTTGGCGGTGCTTGGGGGACCCTATGGGATGCCGGGGATCGAACCTGGGTCGGCCTTGTGCAAGGCAAATGCCCTTCCCGCTGGGCTATCTCACTTCTGCCCCTTATCATGTTATTTTTTTTTCCTGTTACATGCCTCAATTATGAGATGAAGACTTTACTACTTATTCAAGGGCGGCACCTACATCAGCATGTTAAACTTCTAGCAAGTACAAAAATAAGGGTTTATGCGTCAGCCCTGGTTCAATCCCCAGCTTCTCATAGGGTCCCCCAAGCACTGCCAGGAGAAACTCCTAGAGCACAGAGCCAGGAGTCAGCCCTAAGTACAAGTAGGTGCAAAAACCACCTCTCCCCCCGCAAATAAAATGAAACCAAAACCAACCAAACAAAAATAAGGCTTTATATGGGCATAGCACAGCGGTAGGGCGTTCACCTTACAAGCGACCAACATGGCCGACCCGAGTTCGATTCCTCCGCCCCTCTCGGAGAGCCCGGCAAGCTACCGAGAGTATTCGATATGCCAGACACAGTAACAACAAAGTCTCCAATGGAGATGTTACTGGGCCCGCTTGAGCAAATCGATGATCAACGGGAGGGCCTTTACTTTACTTTACTTTATATGGGCATAATGTACGTTTGACTGACTTGGGCATCATAGCCATACAATTCATATTATTAATCGTAGTTATTCATCTTATTCATAGTTCACATTATTCTCCCTTGCATCTTGAATTCACTGGCCCATTAATTCTCATATAACTAGAGAGTTCTTGTGGCATTGTGGTGGAAATTTCTCTATGTTGCAAAATTCTGAAATAAGATAATCAAGCAAAAAAATATATATTTTTTATCAATAGAGTCTTCTGTGATGTTTTGAATCAAAATATATTTTGCCAGAAGGAAATACAGATTATTAGGGCTGGAGCAATAGCACAGTGGGGAGGGCATTTGCCTTGCACGCAGCCAACCTGGGTTCGATTCCCAGCATCCCATATGGTCCCCCGAGCACCGCCAGGAGTAATTCCTGAGTGCATGACCAGGAGGAACCCCTGTGCATCACCAGGTGGGGCCCAAAAAAGCAAAAATAAAAAAAAGGAAATGCAGATTATTTTGTGCTGAGATGCTTAAAGATAAGAGTAGAAGGAGCCTCCTTTGAAAAGGTTGGAGGTGTTTGTTTCTCATTCTAAGTCTTTGTTCATTCATTTCTTCCCTGAGTGTAAAATGCACCCTGTGTTTGGATGGGACACACATCCTCACAGCTCATTTTAAGTGCTCTGTAAAATAACGAAAAACCCGAAGTTTCTTTGGTTGGATACCGTTCTTCCTGCCTCATCTCCTGGGGTTTTGCTTATGAAGACAAGACCTCCGCAGAGTAGCCTTGCGGAATTGCCTGCCAGGCGTTTTCCTTCTGCTACCTGGATGCCGGCCCAATTTTTCACTGCTTCACTCCTTCCGACAGCAAGAATTTCTGCTTCTAGTTCCCCCATGCAATCCTGAAAGATAAGCAGAACTATCGCTCCCAGTACATCTGGCTCCCGTTCGTAAACCCACCCATCCTGCCAGATGAGTGGCGTCCAAACGGTTCGGGCTGGAATTCCACACCCCTTATAATCCGGCCTCTCTTCAATTTTTATTTTATTTATTTATTCAATGGGTAGGGCGTTTGCCTTGCATGCGGCCGACCTGGCCGACCTGAGTTCGATTCCTCCGCCCCTCTCAGAGAGCCCGGCAAGCTACCAACAGTATCTCACCGGCACATGGCAAAGCCTGGCAAGCTCCCTGTGATGTATTCAATGTGCCAAACACAGTAACAACAAAGTCTCACAATGGAGACCCTGGAGCAAATAAATGAACAAGGGGAGGACAGTGCTACAGTGCTATTGAATCACCGTGAGATGCAGTTACAGACTTACAAACTTTGGTGATTATGTTTCAACATGCAGTGAACAGGACAGTGCTACAGTGCTATTGAATCACTGTGAGATGCAGTTACAGACTTACAAACTTTGGTGATTATGTTTCAACATACAGTGAACAGGACAGTGCTACAGTGCTATTGAATCACTGAGAGATGCAGTTACAGATTTATAAACTTTCGTGATTATGTTTCAACATACAGTGATTGAGCACCCATCCCTCCACCAGTGCCCATTCTCCACCACCAATGATCCCAGTATCCCTCCCCCCACCCCTCTCATCCCTCTCCCAGCCTCTGTGGCAGGCACATTCTCTCTTTCTCTCTCCCTTTGGGTGTTATGGTTTGCAATATGGGTACTAAGTGGCCATCATGTTTGGTCCATAGTCTACTTTCAACACTCATCTCCCATCCCAAGCGAGCCCTCCAAGCATCCTTCACTTGGTGGTCCCTTCTCTATCCCAACTGCCTTTTCCCCCAGCTCGTGAGGCCGCCAGCTTCCAAACCATGGAGCAATCCTCCTGGCCCTTATCTCTACTGTCCTTGGGTGTCAGTCTCCCATTCTGTGACTTTATATTCCACAGATGAGTGCAGTGTTTCTATGTCTGTCTGTCTGTCTGTCTGTCTGTCTCTCTCCCCCCCCCCCTCTGACTTATTCCACTTAGCATGATACTTTCCATGTTGATCCACTTAAATGCAAATTTCATGACTTCATCTTTACTCTCAGCTGCATAGTGTCCCACCAAATGATTTTCTGAGTGGCATATTGTCTGGAATCATTACAAAATCTACTCTCGTGGAAATCTTAATCTCCCCATCTTGTTCTTTTTGAATACCCTAAGTTCTAGGTATAGAATTGAGCCTCTTGAACTTAATCACTGTCACCGTCCTCCCGTTGTTCATCGATTTGCTCGAGCGGGCCCAGTAACTTTGTTGTTACTGTGTTTGGCATATCGAATACATCACGGGTAGCTTGCCAGGCTCTGCTGTGTTGGGCCAGTGGCGCAATTGGATAATGCGTCTGACTACGAACTTAATCAGTGAAATTTTATTCAGATGAATTGAGCTTGTAACTATAAATGCATCAGCTTGGTTGGGAAAGTGTTTTTTAGGTCTGCATGTTTTTTTTAAATTAATTAATTAATTAATTAATTTTGAATCCCTCCACCAGTGACCATTTCCCACTACCACGGATCCCAGTATCCCTCCCACCCCCCATCCCCCCATCCCACCCCGCCTCTGTGGCAGGGCGTTCCCTTTTGTTCTCTCTCTCCTATTGGGTGTTGTGGTTTGTAAAAGAGTTAAGCCTGATTTTCAGGGAGAAACGTTGGATGATTTACTTTCCATTGATCACTTTGTATCTAGGGAGATGTCGCACAGCCGTGTAAGCGGCCACGCGGTTTGGAGTAAAGGTCCTGGTTCCCACATACTCGAGCTATGCTTGTAGAGGCTCATGGTCACCAGGGTTCCATCTGGAGGAGGCGGGATGTGGCACCTACCCCATCTGGGACTTCCCGGTGATCTCGGCTCTTTTTAGGACCTGGTGCATTCTCCGGGAGCTGTGGAGCCGCCCAGTGGCCTTTCTTCTCTGCGGCTGTGTGCTGTAAAGATGGCGCTGGGGGGCGGGTTGTGGGCATAACTTCCAGAATCAGAGGTTACCTGGGAGCCAGGGTGGTCCCGGCAGTTTGGAGTAAAAGTCCAAGTCCTGGTTCCCGCATACTCAAGCTATGCTTGTAGAGGTTCATGGTCACTGGGGTTCCATCTGGAGGAGGCGAGGTCTGCATGTTTTAAAAATTTTTTTAACTTTCTATCCAAGTATTGTGGACACATAATAAATGCATATCAATATGCAGTTTGATATATATATATATTTTTTTTTATAAACTCAGCATGTAGCCAGTGAGTAGCCAACATGACCGAGAAGTTCTCGGCAACCCAGGAATCTTTCTTCCTTCACCTCACAAGGGCTGTCATTATCTGGACCTTTGAGAGCCAAGTTTGGTTGAGTCCTTTATAGGAAGGAAACTGTGGTATTCAGTTAAGTGTTTGGATAAAAATGTGCAGGTATTTGTAGGTCATTTATATCCTGAACTCCATTT